AGCCGTTTCGGAGGAGTACGGTAACTAACATTTTGACAATGTTAATTTTATATATAAGATTATATCCGAAGTTAAGATTTTATGTATTAGGTAGGCAATATGGTCGCTCAGCATCTTTAGGGATCATTTTGAAACTCGATGATTATTCTTGACATATACCCGACAATTAAATCACTATGTTATCACTATGTTAATAGTCTCGTGCATTATTAGTCGATGAATATATATATAATGCATTGCATTATATGTCAATAAAAATTTGTTTATTCAGTTAATAAAAAAAATTTGTATAAATAGTTAATGAATAGTTGAGATTTTATATTTGTTAAAATATCATTATTAACGCAGCTGATATTTGTTATTAATAAAAAAGCCTGGGAATTTCAGGTAAGTAATAGTAACTGCAGTACTAATTATTTTCATATATTTGGTAGATTTCTTTATTTCTATCTGTGGATAGAAATATGTTTGAGTAAAAGGCAGATATGTTATCATTTTCTACTTTTATTCTGTTCTTCTTATTTCTATCTAATAGATACAATTTTGCTCTGTACAAAATAAATAGGTTGATTAATCCTTATTTGGTTTATATTTGTGCTTGTTGAAAAATACTTTAAGTGACCAGCCACCACAGTTGCCCGGGCATCACTAGTGGTGCTTGCATGTGTTGGGTGTGTGGCGTACCCCAATGTGTGGTACAGCCGCCAGGGAGGAGCTTCCGATACGTCTGAATTAACTGACTTTCTACTGAAGGCATGGGTTCATATGCACTAAAGTGGAGGTGATGGAGCTTCAATCTGACAATTGGGCAATTGGAGATCTGGGAACAACACATCATTTTCCATAAGTTTGTGTCTATAGTCCAACTGCTATTATTATTCTTAAGTTATCTTTTGAAAGTTAAGCGGATGTAAAGTCAAGAAAATTTTAACTGAAATTTTTATACATTTTTGAACATTGATATGGTAAAGCTGTCGCTTCGTTAAGAGAAAGGTAGACCCTTCTACGCTGGCTACCACTTCCTATTATATTGAAAATGTGTTTACAGTTGTATTTTAGAGAAGGTTTTTCAAATATCTATTACCACCCGTACCACTCATATGTGTAACATATAAATAAATCTCACTTGTTAAAACTCTTACTTAATACCATATACTTCTCCCTTTACTCCTTTTTGTGACTCCAACCAACTCCATTTTTTGTCATCCATATTGTCACAAAACCGACAATGACCATAAAAAGCTTTTAAATCAATACAAATTTGTTTTGATTTGTTATGGAAGCGAAATTTTATTGCATTTTTCTGTGACAACAGAAACGAGGAAAGTTAAATCCGCGAGATTTATGTAGTCGAAAGATTTATAAACAGAAATCCGCGAATTTGTGGCAATTTTTGCAAAATTTATTACTAAGTCCAGTGCACCCCATAATTGTGAACTCCGTGAATGCCGAGATGGAGTGAGAATAGGAGTGCATGTTGGGTACTGCGTTAAGTGCTTTTGGAACGCATAAATCACGTTTTGTGACAAACTTAGTACGGCAGATTGCGTCGCGTATCGAATTGCGTACACCGGATAAATTCGCTGTGATCAAATTTATTTGCACTGTTTTAGGCGCGTAACAAACAATCAAATTAAAGTGGATTAACGGTAGCCAATTGTGGTCACAGAGTGCCAAAGTACAATTTTGTTGGCAAAGTGCAAGTGCATCAGTGCATCAATGCTGTTAAGCTGCGCTTTGTGTTGATGGCATTTTAATTAGTTTTAGTTGTGGCAACGAAATTGCTTAAATTGACAACTAAGTTGGTTTTGCGTTTTGGAGAAACTTCAACTAAATTAGAAGAAATTGTTTTAATACCATTCAGTTGATGACAAAAATTAAATTAAAATGGTTTCTGTTTATGTAATATAATTTATTTTCGTGCACCTAACTTTAAATAAGACTATAGTAACATATTTTTTTTTATTTGCTTTAATTTGAACCAACTAATATCCGTTGAGACTTATCTCCGAGTTTTCCGTTTATTTCAAAATTCTTTAATAAGTGGCTTACTAAAGCTATTTGTTTGGCATTTGCTCATTTAGACGCTTAAATTTTTACTTCCTTTAATCCCTCTCAGACCGTCGACCATAAAAAGGCACTACAATTAAGAAAATTACAAAATCGCTTGGATTTCTAATTACGCCAACTCTTAAAAACTTCTTAAGTCTTCTTTTTTGTACTTTTCAATTATATTTTTATGTGCATTCGTATTTTTCTTAGTAATTTTATTATTTGTTTTTACAGTTTTTAATTTTATAACTGATTTAAAATGCATAAAGCGAAAACCCGAATATAATCCGAATGGATTCTTTCTTATTATGAGCATCCAAACCCAAATTATCTTAAATAATTTTACGACATTTGTTTCAAATTAAACTTTTGACTTTCGGCACACTTCTTTCTCTCATCCAAATTCTAAAGCAACCACATTTTTCTGCTTCCTAAGGAACATTTGAAACATTCTTTTTAATATTTGATGCATTGCCACTCTGTAATTATCTGCTTCAAAATTTCCAATTAAAATTAATGAAATATTTTTAATGCGAGCAGACATAAAATATATCACGGAAATTATCAAAATGTCCACATTATTACTGCGATATTCTATTGAGACTACAAAGACAGCGGTGGTGACAGTGACGGAGTAATTATTATCACGAAGGATTTCAAAAATTATTTACCCCCTCAACCTTTCACACACAATAAGGCCAGTTTGGGGTCACAAAAGCGTTGTCTTTAACGAACACAAAAAATCTCCCCAATTTTAAGTAGCTGTGGTGTCAGTCTCTAAGGAATTTTTTTAATTATTATGGAATTCTTCAGAGGAGTTGACGCGTTGATTTCTGATTTGAAAAACATTTCAAAAATTTTTTAACTAAATTCTGGTAATACGCAAAGTCAGACGTCTTACATGAGTGCTTTGAATGCAAAGAAAGTTATCCTTCCATAAGCAAAAACAAATTGTGATCAAAAATATATGGAAAGTTTTAAATTTTCGTATACTGTTTGAATTCTGTGTTGTATTGGTTGCACTGTTGTACGTGTTACATGTCAGGCCTTCACGATGTTTAGTTTGTTTTAGACGGGTGAATGAGCATGTCTTACGTTTGTGTCTTTGGCGATTTTCTAACAGGTGAGAATCATTTCAAATATCAAACCATGCCTTTGGTGCCAATACTATTTCACAGCAATCTATTTTTCTGAACAGTGTATATGTTCTCAAAAGGTCATAAAGGCATAGAAACTGACTGAAATGTGGGGGTCTTAACACCCATCAACGATATATAATATATCTTTTATATTTTGATAATAAAATATTATTATCAAAGGATTTTTAAATATAAATTATATGCCATTGTAATTGCAGAAAGAGCTAAAGACCTAGCAATGATTTTGAATTTGTTTTTAAGACCTAGCTATGGCCTTGAGCTACTTGACCGTGGCTTAAGTACATGTTCTCAAGTAAACTTACTTCGAAGAAAACCACTATAATTAAATATATATGTTTTGTTAAAATTAGAAGTTGTCATTATATTTTGTTCACATCTCATAAATTAAAATCAAAGTACCAGAGCTTATATTCTATAATAGGCGTATTCTTTTGTAAGCATATCGTAAAAAAGCAACTGTTTACTTTAAAAATAACTTAAAAAACAACAATACTGCTGGCTTATTTAGTCCAACTTCTTTGAAATAGCTTAACTAATAAGCAGTTCGAATCGCATGGTTACCAAGACTAAAAATTCGTCTATTGTGAATGATTTTTGGAAGTACGTACAAAATTTCGAATAACTGTCAATATATGATTTTGTTATTTATTCGTATTTCGTGCAGTTATTATTCGTACTTTTTACATATTATTTAAGTGTTAAAAATTATTATTCATTTTCGAAACTAACTTAAAAGTTGTATATTTTACAAATACGTGTATGTCTGTATTTGGATATATAAACCTGTCAGGCATCAACACAAAAATTTCCAATTTTACCAGAGTTGCCAATACTAGATATCATGATTCTTGTGTCCGAACCTCCAGTTATCTACTTACTGGAGCTTCGTCATTGTCATGGCTCCTTAACCATTTTCATGGTTATAAACCCATGGCTTCAGTGGACACGGTGAAGGCTAATCATCGGAGACACGTCAGAAAAATATTGAATACTTAGTCCTACAAATTATAATCTATGTGATAGTGTACCTTACTTTCAAACGTAAAATGATAAATATTAATGTATGAATATATAATATACGCATACCTAATTATATACGAAAAAGTTTATAAACATATGAATATATATATATAACCATAAGGATATAATTAAAAAATAATTAAATCATAAAAATATAGGTTAGGCTAGGTTATGCTGAAAAACAAAAAAATGTGACTAAATACTAATTAAATTCTAATAGAAATATACAATTAAATAATATATATAATTAAATGCAATAAAATATATAAATAAATAAATAAAACATAAAAATATAAAAATGGATATAAATCAATGCTTCCCCACAAATCGTATTCTACATGTACATCAAAGAACACAGATACATTATTTAGAGCAACGTCAAATTTGAATATTTTTAATAAAAAATTTGATTTAAAAATTGAAGCATTCCTTGATTTTTATGATTTAAAATTATTTCTATAATTTGAAATTGAAAAGAAAATCAAATCAATTAACAATTTCTCTTATCTCAGTTTTTTAGAAACAACTCAATTGACAGAAAAATGCAATTCTTTTCAAATCTCGCAAAGGTCAAGACACCACTAATGTTTCGTCTGCCTCAAAAGCAGCAAATGCAGAAACAGTTCGTCCATATTGGAGCAAATATTAATGAAGGTGTCAGAAAAAAGTCGTCGTCTTCTTCACGCACCTATGAAATAATTGACCATGCTTACGATGCAATTGTGGTTGGAGCTGGTGGTGCAGGTTTGCGTTCTGCTTTTGGTCTCGTAGCACATGGCTTTCGAACTGCGGTAATAAGCAAAATTTTTCCCACACGTTCGCACACAATTGCCGCACAAGGTGGAATTAATGCAGCATTAGGTAATATGGAAGACGACAATTGGCGTTGGCATTTCTACGATACGGTCAAAGGTGCTGATTTTCTTGGTGATCAAGATGCTATACACATGATGTGCCGTGAAGCGCCGAAAGCTATTGTGGAATTAGAAAATTATGGCGTACCCTTTTCACGCAAAACAGATGGTAAAATATATCAACGTGCATTTGGTGGTCAAAGTTTGGATTATGGTAAAGGTGGTCAAGCACATCGCTCGTGTGCTGTGGCAGATCGCACCGGGCATGCTGTCCTGCAAACACTCTATGGTCAATCATTGCGTTATGATTGCCATTATTTTATTGAATACTTTGCATTAGATTTGATTTTTGAAGATTGCGGTTGTCGTGGCGTTATGGCTTTATGTATTGAAGATGGCACTATACATCGTTTTCGTGCTTGGAATACCGTCATTGCTACTGGTGGTTACGGTCGCGCTTATTTCTCAACAACTTCGGCACACAGTACTACTGGTGATGGTTTCGGTTTGATTACACGGCGTGGTTTGCCTCTACAAGATTTGGAATTTGTACAATTTCATCCCACTGGGGTTTATGGTTCCGGTTGTTTAATTACAGAGGGGAGTCGTGGTGAGGGCGGCTTTTTAGTCAATTCGGAAGGCGAACGCTTCATGGAACGCTATGCTCCCAGTGCTAAGGATCTAGCAGCTAGAGATGTTGTCTCGCGCGCTATGGCTATAGAAATTTTAGAAGGTCGTGGTACTGGTCCCGAAAAAGATCATGTGGATTTACAACTTATGCATATTGATCATGAGGTGATTAAAACTCGTTTGCCTGGTATCATGAATACAGCAAGAATTTTTGCGGGTGTTGATGTGATGAAAGAACCAATACCGGTATTACCAACTGAACATTATAATATGGGTGGCATACCGACTAACTATCGTGGACAAGTGCTTACAATAGACGATGCTGGAAATGATGAATTAATTGAGGGCTTGTTCTCATGTGGTGAGTGTTCCTGTAGTTCTGTGCATGGTGCTAGCCGTTTAGGTGCAAATTCCTTACTTGATTTACTGGTGTTCGGAAGAAGCTGTGCTAATGCTATTGCTGAATGCCATAAGCCTTCAACACCTCCACCAGAAATGAAAGAAAATGCAGGCGAGGATTCTATTGAAAACATTGACAAATTAGTACATAACAATGGCAAACACACAACATATCAACTTCGCTTAAGAATGCAACGAGCAATGCAAAAATACGGTGCAGTCTTTCGTGATGGTCCTGTACTGTTGGAAGGAATGAAAGTAATGCGTGAAATATTCAAAGATTTTAAGGATGTCAAAATTGCTGACAAGTCTAGAGTTTGGAATACGAATTTAACGGAAGCTTTGGAATTGCAAAATATGCTAGCTATTGGTATGCTTACCATTGTAGCAGCAGAAAATCGCAAAGAATCTCGTGGTGCACACGCAAGAGAAGATTTCAAGATGAGAATTGATGAATTTGATTATAGTAAGCCTACCGAAGGTCAAACGGCTAAGCCATTTGAAGAGCACTGGCGCAAACATACATTGCTTTGGTTGGTAGACGATGAAGGTAAAGTTTTTATACGCTACCGTCCGGTCATTGATCACGTCTTGGATGATTCAGTCAAAGCAGTTAAACCATTTATACGCAAATATTAAAATAATTTTTATTCATTTTTCGTATATTTTCATTCGTATTATTTTTAAAATAACTGTTTTATTTAACAATTAATGATTAACAATTATAAATTGTTACCAGTTCATCAGTTACTATTTTTTAAATAGTTTAATACAAAGATTGGAATTGTGATAAACGTCTTTTTGAATTTTTGTAAACTTTGTAAATTTTGATGTTGTTAATTGGCATTTTGACTTTGGCTTATTTTATGATACATTCGAAAGAGGTTGAACACTAAGTTTGTGAATACTCGTTTAGTGAAGAGGATTGGGGTTCGTAGTGATAATAATTAATGCAGTAAGAAATCTTCAATATACGTGTTTCTTGTAGTTAACAGGGTTTAGGATTTTTTTTATGTATTACTAATTAATATGCAAATTATCTATTCATCTTTTAGTTTTTATTTGAAAAATAAGATCTTATAAAGTACTTTAAACTAAGCAAATGTTACCAACTCATCGGCAGGCGCTGTAAACTGTCAGTCTATGAAAAACTAATATTTATAAATAAATACTGAAGGACTTATAACACACAATTCTAGAATTGTACCAACAAGCAATGTTTTGCAACTGTCCAATGCCTTTAAATTAAAGTGCTGCGATACATCGTAAATGCTCCTTACTACAACAGAAACAGTGATCTCCATCGTGAC